ATACTAGGAAATTTGATAGAATAATAATTTATATTCTTACTGAATATAATGTCACAAGTAAAAATAGAATTATTTATAAATTTGTTACATAAACAACATTTCAATTGAATAAAAATTATCACTAATATAGTAAATAATAAAAGGGAAGGAATTTAATATAAATTGAAGAAAAATAAACAAAAAGGATTGGATATAGTATTTGATCAAACCTATTAATCATAATGCATTAACAATGAAAATAAAAATAAATTTTCATAAATAAAGATATAAAATAACATAAACAATTATTAAAATACCACATTAAAGTGATACTTTTTTGTACAAATTCAAGAAATTTCAGAATTTCCATTAAAAATTCTTTTATATTATGTTGTTATATAAAACAAAAATTAATATGTTTTGCAGCAAAGTCATTTTTGTTCATTTAGAGATATTTGTTCAAACTTCATATCAACAAGACACAGAAAATACAGAACTTTAAATAACAAAAAATACTAAAACAGAATGAGGATTGTAGGAGGGTGGTTTACTGCATACAATGGATTATTGTCAGCTGTACATTATGTTTTAAGTTCATTTAGAAAAAATAAAAAATCATTATTTGTTGGGGTTTTTACTGTATTTGTTAGTGTTTGCTTTTTATATATTTTACAAAATGTTGTTGAATTAGTACCTGCCGTATTTATGAGAATATCAGAAATACAAGTTGGAGAAGGAGATATTTTACTTCAACCAAGAGAATCAATTTTTCTTAACTACACTCAAATATCAGAAAAACTTGATAAAAATTGTAAAACATGTAAGAATAACTACCCACGTTGGTTAATGTGGGGGTCTGTTGTTAATGGGAATCAAACTGTTGATGGAATATTAAATGTTTACAACAGTGAACTTGAAGAAAAAAATAATATTGGAAGAGGATGGAAATATGACCCTTTAGAAAAAGATCAATTTGTAATTAGTGGTGGTGCTGCTAGAAAAATTGGTCTTCAAGTTGGACAAGAAGTTCATATTGTGGTTAGTCTTCCTGAAATAGTAAGATATCTTGGACTAAATATGGAAGATATACTTCCTGATTTAATTGGAGTTGAACAAAATGTTAACATTCCAATTCCATTGAAATTTATTGATCCAAATAATACTCAAAATGGGAAATATATAATTACTCAACTCTATGAAATAGAGAAAATTTTAAATCAAACTGGAGAAAATATATTCACATCATTGTATATAAATGGTATTGATATGTATGTAACAGAAGCATTTAACTTATATGTATTAGACAAATCATCTCCTGACCCTTATAATAAGTTTATAATAGAAAATAATGCTATTTTAGTGTCAGTTGGGTTAAACATTAATTATTCTGACCCAGAGTTATTAGCTTCTATGACATCAATTAGAAAAATGATAATCAAAGGAATTGCAGAAAGTCCAGGAGGAAAATATTCTAATTTAATTGGGAATGTAATATCTATTGATCAAAGAGAAGCAGAAATATTGTTAAAAAAGATTTTTGAAAATATTATTAGTTATGAAATAAAGAAAGTTACTGACAAGTTAAAACAATACCATATTCCAACTACAATTATATTGAATCTTATCAATAACTTGTTTGGTAGATTTGAATTTGATCTTAATGCTCAAACAACTCAAATATATGTTCAAATGAAAGATAGAAATAAAGCATATTTTGACGGTGATAAATTAATGAAAAAAATTATTGTTGAAACAACTGATGAAATTGCACAAATACTTGGACTTAAATCTTCAATAACTCTAACTGCGCCTTTATCTATTGTAGTTTCAGTTTTTAATTATTTGATGTATTTATTAAAAGAAATTTTTAATTTCATTGTTATTGTATTTGCATTTATGGGAGGATTGTTGATTTATAGTTTATTGATTACTGATGTAGAAAGTAAAACATATGAATTTGGAATGCTACGTGCATTGGGATTATTAAAATCTTTATTAATTGAAATTCTTGTAGTAGAATCTACAACATTTTCAATCATTGGAGTGGTTATTGGACTAATTCTTGGATATTCATTATCTTTAATAGCCAATTTCTTGATTACTAGTCTTGCTGATTTACCAATGACTTATACACCGTCATGGAAATCAATAGTAATACCATTGTTGATTGGTTTTATTGTTCCTCTTATATCCAATATTATTCCAATTAAAAAAGCCCTTTCTAAAACATTAAGAAATAGTTTAGACCTTTATCATTCTACTGTTAATGAAGTTAATGTAACAATAAAAAAAATAAAGTCAATTGGAGTACGTCCATCGTTAATAATAATATCATTGGTAATGATAATAGCAAGTTTTATTACATATTATGTCATTCCAATGTCATTATTACAAATGAAATTAGATATTTTATTTATTTGCTTCTTATTAGTACTTCTTTCATTCCTTGCAGGACTTTGTCTTCTTAGTCAAATAATACAACCATTTATTCAGAACCTTATTACTTATATTATTATTACACCATTTCAAAGCGCTACTCAAAGTATTGTACTTAAAAATTTAAATTCTCATTCCCCAAGAAATAAAAAAACTGCTTTAATGTTAACTGTTGTAATTAGTTTTATTTTATTTGCAGGTGCAGTATTTTCATTATCAGAAAGTACTATTATTAATGAAGTAAAATTAACTTCTGGAGCAGACATTAGAGTGAAAACATCAAATAGTCTAAATGTAACTCAATTAGAAAATTATTTAAAGAACGAACCTAAGGTTATTGACTACTCTTTCGAAACATCTCCTATCTCTGATATTGCTGGTAAAAAATCATCGACATACATAAGCAATTTAGCAATGTGCCCAATGGATTCTGTAAAATATATTGCAGTAGATGAACATTTTGTTAATACAGTTTATAATGAATTATTAACTCCAGTAAAGGCTGACCCAATAATAAAATATAATAAAATCAATGGTGTTCCAGATGTATTAACCTCTTTATATGATTTTCCTAGAGTAAGGACAAGTGACTTACCTCAATGCTTTCCATTGAATAAAAATATTATTAATAAACAAAAAATCCCTGACACATCATATTTCTATAACAATTATACTGATGTCATTATTGCTGAAGGTATTAGAGAAGAAGACAGTATTCATATAGCTGATAATGTCCGTATTAAAATAGTTTCAAATTCACATTCACTATTTTATCTTGGAAAAGTGCGTGCGACAATAAAATCAATGCCAGGTCAAAGATTTTCATCTTTTTATACAGTCGCTTCAAAATCACCTATTATTATAAGTATTCCCCAAATGAAAGAAATACTACAAACACAACAATCTTTATTCAATACGTCTTCTGATATTACTTACCCTATTCTTTATGTTAAAGTACAACCTGGAAGTAGTGAATATGTTACACAAAATATAAGAACATTAGTATATGATATTAAAGCTGTTGTAACAGATACATCTTCTAGTGTAAAATCTATTCAATCTTCTATTGGAATTCTTCAAGTATTCTTTGTAATTGTTTCTTTAATTGCGTTGTTGTTGTGTTTTTTTGTAATGTTATTATCTTTTACTTCAAATGTCTATGAAAATTCTTGGGAATTTGCAGTTTTAAGAGCACTTGGACTTAGTTCAATCAAAATGGTGTTGATTTATATTTATGAGGCACTTTGCATTACTTTTTCATCTATTATTTTAGGGTCATTAATAGGAATTGGTGTTGCTTCATTAGTGAATCTACAATTTATTCTTTTCCTTCAACTACCATATACTTTCTCTTTCCCATGGCTTAATGCAATAATTATTTATGTTATCTCAATTGTTGTTTCTATCACTTCTTCATTTATACCTTCTTGGGGTTTAACTCGCAAACCAATCTCTAATGTTTTAAAAGGTCAGCTTTAATATTTAATCTATTCCTTTTTAGTTCTGTTTCATTTAAAACGTCAAAGGTTCTGTTTCAAGTTTTTTAAACTAAACTATATTTTAATAATAAAAATAATAAAAATATGTTTATTTCAAAAAGTATAACTAAAAAAGAAACCAATAAATTACTATGTCATTTTCAAGTGTTAAGGTGCATTATTGCCGATATATGCAAGACTGGGACAAAATTAGTGATCGAATTTGTAAAAATAATTATGTTGGATTTGATGTTGAATATGTTGATAAAACTCCTGCTACAATTCAACTTTCATCACCAACTGAAGCATTTGTTTTACATGTATTTCACTATAAAGAATTACCAAAGACATTGGTTCAATTATTAGAAAATGATGGAATAATTAAAATTGGAGTTGGAGTTAAAGATGACTTAAAAAAAATTGATGATAAATATAAAACACATTGTCAAGGTGGACTTGATATAGGGTGGACTGCTTATTTGATTGGAGCTGTATCAGAGTATAGAGGTATTGATTATTTAGGGGAGAAACTACTTGGAGAAAAGAAATTAGGTGGATTTGCAACATGGGGAATAGGTAGGTTAGAAAAGAAACAAATTGACTATGCTGCTAAAGACGCATGGATTGGTGTTTGTGTTGCTGAAAAGATTTATAATGAAAGTTTAACCACTAAAGAAAAGAAGAGATGTAATATCACTGACTGGGTTAAGGATATGGCAGCATCAAAGATTGATGTACTTGATTATTGTGATGATGAAGATAAAGGAGTTGTAACAAACACGGTTGTTAACGAAAATGATGTACAAGGAGAATTAAGAAGTATAAGAAAAACTAAGGAATATCTAAGCCAATTAAGAAAAGAAGAAAAAGCTCAATTGAAACAACTAGAAAAAGTAAGTGAAGAGAAAAAACCAAAGAAGGTTGATAATAAAAAGGGTACTAAGAAAGAAAAAGATGAATTAGTCCTTAATATCTTTTTTGATGATGAATAAATTATTTTCGTGATTGGGTTATATCAAATTTTTCTATTTTGTTTTATCCAAATGAAAAGACAAATATTCTTAAAGATAGGAGATACTAATATTAAGAAAAAAATATTTAATTAAAATGAGTTTATTCAAAAGAAATGGAGGTTTTGATCAGATTAATAAAGGAGTTGAAATAAAGAAAATTTCTATTATAGGAGATGTTGGAGTTGGTAAAACAGCAATTGTCCACCAATTTACCACTTATAAGTTTGAAGAAATTTATGAACCAACAATTGGAGCTAATTATTCAAGTAAAGTTGTATATGATAATAACAAATATATTCGTTTGCAAATATGGGATTGTGCAGGAAAAGAAATGTACAAATCTTTGGTTGATAGTTATTTGGAAAATAGTGACATTGTTATTCTGGTTTTTGATGATCCATTTTCATTTCAACATAGTAAAGAACGTCTTAATAAATTAGGAATTAATTCATCATATTGCCAAATTATTTTTGTACTTAATCAAATTGATAAATTTCTTGATAAGTTTGTTATTTTCAGTGTAAACATAATCATCAATTTATAGAGTAGAGAATTATCTCATAAGGCTCGTCAATTTACTACCAAAAAAGGTATTCCATTTTTCGAAACAAGTGCATTGCAACGTAAAGGAATTGATGAACTATTTAATTCTATTCTTTCTGGAAAGTATGAATCTTTAGAACATATCCCACATTCTTCAAAACTTCAGAAAAGATTGTGTAATGAAGAGTTAGTAGTACTTCCAAAAGATTCTTATGGGTGCTCTTGTTTGAAGGTTGGGTTTTGTTAAAAAAATACTAAAGATAGTTAAATGGAACCAAAGAGGTATCTGTTGATTTTTTGTTAAATTCCAAGTGAGTTAAGTTCGTTTGTTGTGGTATGTATATTAATCGATCTTTTTTATTTTTTTCTTCTTTAAAACCATAAAATTATTTAGTATTTCTTAGATGAGTGAACAACCCATTCAAATAGAGCTTTGTTCACAAGATTATTCAGAAACACCTCTCCCAATTTCTCAGTTTCAAGACTCTGAGACAAATACTTTACAATACCAACAAGAAGAAATATCACCTGAAGTTCTTCAAAAAAAGCAAGAAATGGTTCAAGAAATTAAAAACGAAGAAACTTCCCAACAACCTGATCAGCCAACTCAAAATGAAACATTCACAAGAACTAGTTTTGGCTCACTTCCACAATTGTCTTTAGTAGATTTAAGGCAGTATGTCAAAACATACCCAGTTACTTCAATAACTGGAATGAACATATCAAATAATAGAATGGCAAATCTATCTCTACCAAATCTGGTATCATTAAAAGAATTAAATATTTCTCATAATGCTTTTAAAAAGATACCAACAGTATTATCTGTTTTTACTCAACTAACACGTCTCGATATTTCATATAATTATATTAAATCTCTTGGTATATTAAAAACTCATAAATCAATACGTTTGTTATTATTAGAAAGTTCCTTTGAATTAATACTAATAATAAGGATTTCTTGATATTCATCACAATAATATCCATAAGTTAAACTTTGACCATTATGAAACAGCATCTAACTTGATTCATTTTGATATCTCTGATAATTATATTGCCTCTCCATTAGACAGCTCAGAAACATTTTATTATACATTCCCTTCTATATACTTTCAACGGAGTCCAACATTTATTATATGGGGATTATATCTTGGTTCAGTAAATTCAACTTATGACATTGAATTTATTAAAGGATTAGGAATTGGTTGTGTTCTTTCAGTAGGTAAAAAACCAATTCATGAACTTGATGGATATAATTTGTTCATACCTATTGAAGATAGTCCCACAGAAAATATCATGGAATTCCTTCCAACAGCACTACTTTTTATTGATGAAAATATTAAAAGGAACAGGGCTGTATTAGTTCATTGTGAATGTGGAGTAAGTCGAAGTGCTAGTGTTGTAATAGCCTATATGATGAAAAAATATAATATGAATTATGAAAATGCACTAAGATTTGTGTCTTCTAAACGTAAATGTGTTTTTCCTAATCGTGGATTTGAACAACAATTACTTCAATTTGAAAAAACTACTTTCACATTTGGTTTAGAAGAAAAAGAGAAGAAAACAAAAAGGAAATGGCTCAACTAATGTAAAACAAAGAAGATTTGTTATAAATACATTTGATGAAAATAAAAACATTACTTAAATTAAAAAACAAAAATTTTGGGGTTTTTTTTCTAAAAAACTAAAATTTTTTTGATAAAAACTTTAAATTTTACAGAATTTCAAAGGAATGAATAAACTTGAAGGAAATCCATTGCAACATGTTGTAAATACTACAACTTCTCTTCATGCTTTAATGAAAGTTGTTAGACAAAAAACTGAACGAAAAGATGCTGATATAGAGCGATTAGAAAAAGAAGCACGAAGAGATGTTATTGAAGGAATTCAAGCAATGGAAGTATTAGTTGAACAAATTCAAAACTTATCGAAACAGTCAGTTGATGAGCAACAACAAGAAATAGATGTATTGATAGGAGAAAATATCACTCTTCAAAAGAAAATTGAAACAAGTAAGAAAGAGATTGAATTATTACAAAAAGAAGTAAGAAATTATCAAGAAGAAAAAACACATAATAATGAAGAATATGAAAAAAAGATTGAAGACTTAGAAGAAAGGATAAAAGAAAAAAATAATGAAATAAGTTCTTTAGAAAATGAAATACTTAATACCTTACAAAAACACCCATCTATATTAAATACTAATGAAGACAATGAAGCAAAAATTATGATATTAAAAATTCAATTAAAAAAAAAAGAAAATGAAATTGAAGAACTTGCAAAACAAATAGATAAGTTAAAAAGTGAAAATGAAAAACTTAGAACAGACGTTGAAGTTAATTCACAAACAAATGATGTTATGTGGATGACTATTATGAAAGGAAGAAATGAGAATAATTCATTAAAAAATAAAATTGATGAATTATTAAAAGGAGTAGTTGGAAGTTCTGAAACAGACATTTTTGAAGGGTTTGTACAACGTGGAGAATTAGATCAAATCAAAAAATGGACAGAAATGAAATCATTTAAAAAAGTTTGTAATATTGAAGGTGATGGTGATCACAATAGTTGGAGTTGTGTTAAAGGACTAAAAAATGTACTGTGTATCAAAGTAACTCAAATAGGAAGTGTATTTGGTTATTTTCATAGTAAAGAACATCCAGCAGTAACAACATGGAATATTCCACCAACAACAGATATTGTGTTTTCTTTAAGGAATCTCTTTAATAGTCCACCAATAATTATTAAACAAAATGTTCAAAACAAATTAGTTGAAAATAAACCTGCTGATGTTTGTGTTCCGATAATTACTGAAGAAATAGATTCTCCTTGTCTATGTTCATTAATTTTTGTTGGTGAGAAATAAAAAATTGAAAGAATTATTAATAAGAACTATTTATCATTTTAAGTTTAAAAAAATAAAAAAGAAAAAGATTGAGAAAATTATTAATTAATGATTTTTTTATTATAAAATATAGAAAAAAAAATAAGAACTTAAAATTAGTAAAACATAAAAAATATTATGTTCAATCCATTTGAAATTGTTAATGGACAATATAAAGGAAATTGTTCCAAAGAATTTGTTACCTTAACACTTAATTCTATTCCTAATACTAGAGAACAATTAAACGAGTTAGGACTTCCATTTGCAATTTGTTGCCATCCAATGAATGGTACATCTCAACCACCAAAGGTTTCTTTTCCAAATGGTTCAATTAATAGATGTGAATATTGTAGGGCATTTATCAATCCATTTGTTGAATGGCAAGTACCTGGAACAAGATTTGTCTGTAATTTATGTGGACATGTTAATTATTTAAATAAATCACCATACCAACTATATAATATTAATCAATACCCTGAACTTATAAATGGATGTGTTGATTTCATTGTACCAGAGGGATTTATGCCAAGAATAATTGATGGAAATCATATTGTTTTATTAATCGATTTAAATTGTCCTGTATTAGAGTATGTTATTAACTGTATTGAATCGATTGAACATAATGCACGTGTAGCAGTAATTGCATATGATGATACAATTCATTTATTTAAAGCAACTCCAACAAATGTATGTGAAAATATTATCATGCCATCAATGGAAGTAGATATTTGTGAATCAACTTCTATTTTTATGGAAAAACCTAAATTGAACCAAGTCCTTGAATTAATCAAAAAAATTATTCCAAATAATAAAAATTGCTTACTTGAAGCTCTTACTATTGCTGGCTCATTATTAAAGAAAATTGGAGGGAAAGTTATTGTTATTAATAGTACTCCAGTCACTTCAGGTACAGGTGTCTATCAACCAAGAAATCCAATAGTTGAAAAGAGATCAAATGATATTTATAAAAAGGTTGCTATTGAATTAAATAATGATGGTATCACTGTTGACCTTCATCTAGTAGCATCTTCTTATGTCGACCTTTCTCAATTCGTTGACATTTCATCAAAAACAGGAGGAAATACTACTTACAACACTCTAAATACTCTCAATGATGGTACTTTCTTTACTTCACTTTATCAATCATTCTGTGATATTACTGGATTTGATGGAAGTTTTAGACTCAGATGTTCACCACAGATGAGAGTCGTTAGTAGATATGGTCATTTTATAATGAAAATATCTGATATCATTTCTTCTCCTATTTCTTCTTCTAAAACTGCATTAACAATTCGTTTAACTATAGATACTCCAATAGTAGCTCCAAATATATTTATCCAATCGTCTTATCTCTACACTGCACCAGATAATACTAGATGTATTAGGGTCTGTACTATTGCTATCCCAGTTGTTAGTCAAATTCATCAATGTCTTCCAAAAGATTTCAGTCCAGTTTGTGGTTTTATGGGAATGATTCTTATGGACCAACGACCAGAGCTCAAAATCAATGATCTTCAAAACTCTCTTATTAATCAAATGGCTAAAGTTTATAAATTATTTTCAACAACGTCTCAACAAGTCCAATTATACTCTTCTATGGTACCACAAAATCTTGTTCCATTTACTCTTTACTGTTGTTCAATATTAGTTATGCTAAATATCCCTCCTTCTGATTATTCAATTTATCTCAGAGAAAAAATATTAGGAATGAAAATTAATTCACTCCAACAAATGTTTTTCCCTATTTTATATGATGCTCATTCCCTTCAACAAATACCCACTGACACGTCTAATATTGACAATTTAATTTTGGCTTATAATGGAGAACATTGGATTCTTTCTATTGGAAACAAGGTAGAAGATCAAGATATTCTTGCCCTTGTAGAACACCAACCAGTCTGTGTAATTACTCATTCAGAAGGTATCTTTTCTTCCTTAAGAACTATTGTTGGTAATGCCTCAATCATAGTTTGCAAACAAGGAAGTGAGACAGCTAATAATTATTTGAATAACTATTTGTTTGGTCCTTTCCAACTTGATAGTCTTGTTCAATCAATTAACAATAAAATGATTTCTAAATGACTTGCTTAATTATTCATTTTTATTTCATTCTCACAAGTCTTTTATTTGTTGTTTATCAATTTCTACTTGCTTTATTTATTTTTATGTTGTTTGTTGCATATTATGATTGAGTTATTCTACTGCCTTTGATTTCTGCTTTTATTTTAGTTATCAGTTTTCTTTTAACAACATTTATTCTTATTTCTTTTTCTCATTCTTTATAATACTCTCTTTGCACATTCCATTACTCTGTACACTCATTTGTATTAAAAATATATTTATTTCTGTGTCTTATTTCATAACATTGTATGTGTTTGTTATTAAAGTATATAATTATAATTCTATTCAGATAATTTGATGTTAGTGTTGTGTGTATAATATATAACTTTTCATCTTCTCATCATTATTGAAATAACTTTTATTAAGTTAGTATTTCATTATATCTTATAAACTACTGTTTTAGTGTAATATCTTTCATTACTTCTTGATTTTAAATTATCGATGTTTGTTATCTTCTTCAATTATTCTCGTTTATTTAATTCTTCTGAAATTTGATTCTATGAATGTCTTACTTTTATATTTTCTATTAAACTCTTTTTATTAAGAATATTTCAATTTAGTATTTTCTTTCTACATCATTCCAATATTCTTGTTTATCTCTTTCTTTCAATCATCATAATTAATACAATACAACTTCTTTTATTTCTTTTCTTGTTATTTTATGAAACTTCATTCAATTTTTTATATATTGTTTAAATTCTATCCTTTTTCATTTCACAAACTTCTTCTTATTCTATTCTAGATAATTTCTTGTGTTGTTTGTCATTGTGCCATTTCTGTGTTATTTTATTATTATTTTAATATTTGATGTAGGATAAATTTCTTGTTATTTCATTGAGTCATGTTATTTTGCTACTGAGTATTTAAAGTACATCTTTACGTATCATCTTATTTTTATATACGTTATTATTCATTTCATGCCTTTGTTACTCCTATATTAATATCTATTTCCCTCTTCTTTCTTATAGAAGTATTTCATAATACTTATAACTTCATCCATTTATTTTTATCATCATTTCTTTATCACTAATAACCATTTCTCATTCGTGTTTTATTGGTTTTTTCAAATTTTATCAATTTCGGTTCAGTTATCCCACTTTTTGTTCATCTAATTTAAGTCTTTATTTTATGAAGTATAACCATCTTATTAAACTAACATAAACACAACTCTTCTCTTTACATTGAATTAATGTGTTGTTATTATACAACACCTAATTAAGACTATACAATAATTCTTATTAACAAATATTTCATCACGGATTATCTTTAAATGAGAGATATAAATTGAACAGAATAAATGTAAATTCAAATACAATTGAATTCTAATATTTAATCAATCAATAATTTTTTATCATGTGTTTTATGTCTTTGAATATTCACTGATTCTTTGATACAATACATCAAGAAAACAACATAACAAAACAAAATGGCACCACTTATTAACAAAACAATTTCAATTCATTTTATCCACCAATCACATACCTTAATTTCGTTTTATATTCATAACTTTAAATATCTTTCCAACTATGTGAATCAAATGAAATTCAATCAACGACTATTATTCTCTTTTAAAAAAGAATCAAGTATTTTAAAGAAACAAATTACATTTTTATTACTCTCTTCTTCTACCTATCTCTTTAAATAAAATAAGAAGAAAATTTTTAAAAGTTATTTGTTCAACAGTTCAAAATCTTTGGAAAAAGAGTATCATTTTTAATAAATCTAAAAATAGTTCACTAAAGAGAAGAATAAAGAAGATAAATAAAAACTTCAGAATGGGACAAAACAAGAATTTTTCAAGAATAAAAAACTATAAATAAAAATATTTAGAGATTTACCAATCAATAATAAAATAAAAAGTGATGTATTTTCGCTAACATGTCAAATTCTAAATCTAAAAAAAATAAAATAAATAAAAATAAAAAATAAAGAAAGGTAGTAAAAAGAATAGAAAAGATTAATAATCAAAAGAGAAAAAGTAAAAATAACAAAAATATAAAGGAAGTTAAAGTAAAAATTAGGGAATTTAAGAGAAATAGTTCGAGAAGAAAAGTCAAAAGAAATAGTTGATTTTAATATTGATTTTTATATAGAGGAATAAATAAGAAGAAAACTAAATATATTATTGTCACTCATTCACAATGCAACAGCTACTCACCTTTGAAAATGAAAGAAAGTATATTGATGTAAATAGATGTGTAGCGAAAGTATCTCAAACATCATCAGATGTAGTGAGTGGCAGTCAAGATATAGTCAAATCTGATTATCAAAAATTAATTAATTTTGCTAAAGAAAATGAAATTAAAGAAAAGAAATTAAAAAATACAACGTTACCACAAAAAAGAATTGCAAAATTAACACAATCGAATTTAAAATCAAAAAATCTTATAGGAATTACTCGATCAATGCTTAATCATAGAATTGATCTTTGGAAGCAAGAAGCTAACAAAGATGCATTTATACCATATCCTTTTGTAATGTAAATTAATTAAAATTACTTAAATATTTTTCTTATTTATTTTAAAAAGGGTTTTTTTATATAATTATATTAAAGAATGTTTTATTAAATTATTACATGGAGTAAAAGTAATAAATGAAATAAAAGAATAAAATAGGAAAACTCTTACAATTCACAAAATTTCTAAATGAATTTAATTAAATGATTTAAGAAATGAATGTTGGAAAGAACTAAATAAATAACTGTACTTTAACTACAATTTAATATTTCAATAAAATTAACAGGATCAACTTTATCACAAGAAGTGTCTTGATTTAAAGAAGGACTAGTTTGAATATTAAGTAAATGGTCAGATGAAGTAAACACACCGTTCACAGTATGACCAAACTGAGAAATTTGAGTAACATAATCAGGAATTGAACTAACTGGATTTTGAGGAAATAATAATTTTCCATTGTCACTCAACTTTGTTTGATCAAGAGTGAATGATTGGAACAATGCGAGAATCTGGTTATTAATAGGTTCAAGATGAACGCATTGTTGCTTTTTGTTAATAAATGTTTTAGGGAGAGAATGAACAATTTCAATGACTGCAGCTCCAAAAGCATAGAATCCATATTCATTGAAAGGATCAATCCATTTAAATTTAATCAATTTTTGAGTCTTTTTTGTAGAACGAGACTTAGTTAATTGATATGAAAGATTATTTGTCTGAATAATATATGAAGAAAGTGTATTAAATATTAAAGCAATAGCAGTTTTCTTATCATTACGGGTTGCACCAACCGAGGAGGAAAGAGTTCTAGGGAATAAACTAGAACTTTCAATAATCAAATTATCATAAGTAACTTGATTATCACTTTTCACTGTTGAGCATTTGATTTCTAAGTCTATACCATAACAATTGGCAAGTCCAATTATTGCAGCATTACTCAAATGTTCTCGGTTGGTGCTTTCCCGTTTAATAAGGGTTTGTTTTTTAGTTTGGTTTTCACTAGTGTAAAATGTATTGGGTGAGACAGAATGAATCATCAAAATAAATCAATATGAGTTCTAGTATAAGTATTGATAATTATGAATTAAATGATTACTCCTTTACTATTATTTATTATAATTCATCAATTAGTTTGAAGTTTGATTTTTAATTTACATTTTTATTAATAAGTTAGAACTAAAAAAAGTATTATTAGTAAACTAAAAAATAAATTCTATTTAAACACCTCATATCTGAAAAAAATAAAAATCTCAAAAAATTGTTATAAAAGAAAAAAATATATTTTGAACTAACTAAAATTAAAAATCATTGTGTTTTTATCACAACTCAATATAAATGAAAAAAAAAACTAATAAAAATATGTTATATTTATTTTTCATAAAATTAATTATATTTTTATATAGTTATAAAAAAAATATTGTATTGATATTTTAATTAAATATAATGAAGAATTAATAATTAATTTTATTATTTCAATTACAAAATAATATCTTTCATACAATTAATTCCAGAATTATAAATGAATTATAAATAAAAGGGATTTACTATTTAGTTTATGAGAATATTAAAAAGAAAATTTCTTTTCTAATGTATTTTCTTAACAATAAACAGAAGAAAAATTTGATTTTTATTCAATGAATATTTTAAATAAAATTTATTCGATGTTGTTATTGATAAATGAGAAGAGTCAAAGATTAAAAAAAAGATATGTTTTTAGAAAAAAAAAAGAGAAGTTTCTGTTTTTTATGTATTTGTTGATATAGAAAAAGGTAGATCTTAAAATTTTTTAGTAATTTGCAATGTCCCAAGAAAATCGTTTAAACAATGTCTTTACTTTTTGGAGACAACATGAAAATGTTGAGTTATTTAGCGAAGATAAAAAATTACACTCATCGTTATTAAAATGTGTTTGTAAAATTCTTAAATTAACTTAATAAGTTCAAAAGAAGTTTTACTTCACAAAATATTAATTTAAAATAGAAAGATACAAAAGAAATGAAAGCTTGGTTATGGAATGATCTTCTTGGAATGGAATCTATAGTTGATGAAGAGAAAATGGTATTAATATTAAAACTACTTAAAGACGAATGGAATAAATCATTAAAACAATATGGAGAAGTTTTAGAAAGTACTCCAGAGTTATTGAGGAGATGTTCTTCGACTCTTGTCTTAACATCTAATGAACCTGAAAATATATCTCCTATTAGTTCTTTCAAAAAAGTTTCTCCTGACCCATTTGAAAATGAAAAAGAAATATCAATAATAGAAAGACCTCAATCAAAACAATTAATCCCTTTAGGAAATAGTGATGGTGATATTGATTTAGTTGAAATTTCACAATCAAAAGATTTTGGTGATGGTTATATAGAAAAATCAACAAATTGTATTGGAACATTAAGTTCTATTGAAGAATTTGAGAAAGAAATGAAAAATGAAGTTCAAGAAAATGAAAATAATGAAGAGTCAAAGGAAATAAATATTCAAGACGAATTTAAAAAAGAAGAAGTTAAAGAAAGTCCTAAAGGATATAAAAAAAAAGTAAGTATTATGACAGAAAGAAAATCTCTTGACAGTAAAGAAGAAGTAGAAATTAAAGTAAATAGTTCACAAAATAAAATTCAAGTTCCTTCATTAAATATTGAAATGATTGGAAGTATAAGTAATTCTTCAAATAGGACAAGTATGAATGGTGTTCCTCCTGGAATTTCAACTATGGAATGTAAAGGAGATCAATCAAGTATTCTAACTATGGAAAGTAATGCAACAACAAATTCACCAATACGAAGAGATCAAGTAGAAATTATTGGATTAAAAGCAAGAATTAGTGAATTAGAACAAATTATTGATGAAATGAATAAACAACATTCTACTATTATTCCGTTTCAACCAAGTTCAGAAAAATCAACACCAAGAACATTATCTCCAAGACAAAGAGGTGAAAATAAAGCTAAACTTGAGTCAACAAAAAGTGGATTTTTTGGGCTTTCATTTAAAAAGAAAAATAAAAGAAAGTTAATGAGGTCTGAGTCAGAACGTAATATGTTATCTCCTTCAGAATTAAAAACTGATGGTAAAAAATTACTCACACCTCAATTAGCACCACAACATCAAAATAAACGAGAATCATCAGAACAGGAAATGATAACATTTCCTACTATAACAAATGAAGAATATCGACAAGAAGTTATTCGTTTAAATAAACAAATTGTTCAGTTACAACGAAGAATTAAACAAAAAGATATTGAACTTCAAGCGATAGTTAATGACCAAAAACACTTTTATCCATTAATGACTCTAAGAGAAATTGACTATTTCCATGATGATGTTTGTAATGATTTTATTGAAATTATTTTGAATTGTTTAGAAAACAAACCATATGAAGTACAACAAAAATATCTTTGTAGGTTAAATGATTGTGCCGAAGTTAAATTTTTACCTCCTGATAAAGTTAAAATTGATAATAAGGCAAGAGTATTACGTTATAGTGAACCAATTGTTCGTTCACATTCTCCTCGTTCGTCACAAAGTCCTGCATTATTACCTCTTATTAAGGAAGACCCAGTCCAACCTCAAGAAGAATTATATAGATGTTTATGTGATTCATTTATAACAAGACAAGAAGAATATTATTATCTTTTCCAAATAGTATCTTATTTATATTTTGCACCATTTAGACAAGAAGGATTATCAATTGTATCTAAGTTAGACCGTACATTTCCAGAAATGATGATGATAGAACGTACGTTATTAAGAAATATTAATAAAGGATTTATTAATGCATTAAATGAATATGTCTTAAAATTAAAGTTATATATTCCATTTATATTAATGAAAGATAAAACTTTATTAGTGCTTTCTTTGGAAATAGAAAAAGTAGAATTTAAACGTGGGTTAGTTGAAAGAACATTTGAATTTCAAAAGAAATATGGAAATAAAGGAAAAATCCCTCCTTTTGGAGTATGTATTAATCGTATTTGTCAAAGAATAGGAGAAATTAGTAGATTTATGGAAGACATTTTAAGGCAAGTAAAATCAAATGATATCAATTATATGAAAATTGCACAAACAGCTACAATAGCATTTGAAACAGAAAACTCTTTAAAAGATTCTATTGTTGAACATCTAGAATTACATGATGTTAAAACAGTAGAAAGTAAATTTTTAACTATTGCACATAGAATTCATGATGGTAAACGAAGAATTAGATATTTTGGTGGATTAAAATTTGTTACTCCAGGAGAAATTAGTAAAGAATGGAAAATGTGTATTCTTTTTACTGATATTCTTATCATTGCACGTCCATTTGCATTTGGGAAAAAAACTGCTAAAGAAAGAGAGGTGGTGTTAAGGTTTGAAAATTCACCAAGAGGAAGAGATGTATCTGAATTATCTGGATATAGGTTTAATGAAGAAATGAGAATTCCTCTTCATTCACCAATAAAAGTTATGAATGTAATTGACACACCTTCCATTCACAATGCCTTTATGGTAGAAACAGATGGAATTATTAAACATTTTGCATGTGTATCTATAAGAGAACGTGATTCATGGGTAGAAGCGTTATTAGATTTAAATGAAGAACCTAATAATTATTAATGTTATATATAACGAAATTTGACATTTTTAAGAGAGTTTTAATTAATTTGGTTTTTAATTTTAGAAAAGAATATTTTAAGAAGATAAAAATGGAAAAAAGAACTTAAAACCAATACAAATAATCAGTTTCTATTGTTAAAAATGAAGGAGGTCAAGAATTTCATGAAAATTACTAAAATCGATACTGCTACAAAATATGTTGGTAAATTTGGTAAAAAAGTTATTGGAGGAGTTGGAGGAGTTGCTTCTGGAATTACTACATATGGTAAGAAGGCTGTTACTAATCCATTTGGAACGATAGGAGATGTATTAGTAGGGAGTGCAGAACAACGGTCAGATGTTGACTATTTATTTAAAGATAAAACTGTATTAAGTAAGGCGTATGGTTCATTAATTAAGAACCAGAAAAGTGAGTTAACATATTCAGATGTTTTAGTTATATCAGCAGAACAAAGGAATATTTTTCTTAATTTTGTAAGTAAAAACATTATTTATAGAAGATTAGATATTGACGAACAATGGAAATTAACTGAAATTAAAGGAATTGAATTTATTAAAGAAAGTAATGGAATGATTATTTGTAATAAACATAAAACTAATGGTAAAAAATTTGTTTTTGCAAGTTCATTAAATAGAGCAGAATTTGCATATTGTATTTTGTCAAATGCTAAAGCCAATGAAATTGAAATTGAGTTTGAAATGTCATTAGATGAATTAGTTGATTATATTGAAAAAGAAAAGAAAAGACAAAAAACAGATGGAAGACTTCATTTAGTATCTAAAGAAGATGAATTAATTCTTAAAAAAATGCTTAATGAACATGGAGAAAAAATTGATATTGATGAATTACAAAAGAAATTAGAAAAACAAATTATCATTGATGAAGCAACATTATATAAAAATTATTTAAACAGAGAAGAAATTGGTAATAATGTTAATACATTATTTGATGAAGTACAAAAAACATTAGATGAACTTGAAACATTCTGTTTAAAATTAGATGTTGATATTGAAAATATTAGACCAGGTGTAGAACTTATTCAACATAATAATAATAAATTAGAAATTGTTCATTCAAATCAAACTAAATTCATGAATTGTATGGAACAATTTATTGATTCATTGTTAATTGATCCAGTTTCATTATATACTGTAAGAAATTGTCAAGATCAATTAAATAAAGCAGTTAATTTAGATAATATATGTAAAAGTGCTACTGTTGTTGCTTTAGCTGCTAATTATCAACCACCAGAAGAAATGAAAAATATGATTGCTTTAAAAGAAGAACAAGACTTTGATAAACAAGTTCTTAAAGATTTTGCAGTTGTATTATCATCTACTTTACAAAATAAATTAAAAGTTGAAATGGACTTCCTTAAATTAAATAAAGTTGTAGAATTTGGTAGCTCATTATTTGGAAAAGAAAAACAACAAAAAGAAACATTAGAAGGTGCTCATGGAAGTTTACAACCATTTGGTGGATTAATTGCATGGTTAAGAATGTATGCTACAGATGAATTTTTAAATGTAAAAAAACAATATGTAGAAAAGATGAGTAAAATTGCAAATGAATATTTTGATATTTTAGTTGATCAACAAAAAAAGAATATTCAAGAAATTTCAGAAGACCATGAAAATGCTTTTGAAATGACCGAATTTGATGGTCCTAAACCAGATAAAAATGGAGAAATGCAAATTATTCCAAAAGAAATATTTAATGATAGAAATGAGAAATTCCCTGATAAAAGACCCATGTTTGATGTTGTTAAAAGTGTTATTGAAACTATTGCTATTAACGTTATTGCAGAATTTAAATTTTTATTAGAAGTATTCCAAATGGAAGAAAATGGTCCAAATGGAATAAATGTATTAATTGATGATGTGTATAAACAATCCTTTGATGCATTAGATAAGTTAATTAGTTATATTGAAGAACATGATCCATTTATATTATTACGTGTTATTTATTTATGTAAAACAGCTAATGTAAACATTGATATTTCAACTCAAGATTACTCTAAATTATTAAAAAAACAAGCAAAAGAACAAAAACATACTGAAAATGAACAAGAAGAAGTAGCTCCATTACAACAACTTAATAAAAATGAAATAAAAAGAGAACAAGGAACTAGAGAATTAATTGTTCAAAAAAATGCTCGTACTGTTTGTTTTGAATGGTTAGATCATTTCTATGAAGTTCTAAGTAATAATGCTTTGAAAAGATTTAACAATTTTATTGATAAACAAATTACTCAAATTACTAATACTGTTATTAGTCCAAAGAAACATGGAGTTACTGTACATTTTCTTAGACTACCATACTTTTTTAATTATCTTCAAATTGCAGCAGGAGAAGAAGAAGTATGGGAAGTACTTAATAATGTAATTCAACCAATAATAGCAAAATTATTAAGAAGTTCATTTGATTGGTTAAAGTCTATAAAAGATTCTCAAGTTGATCAAAAACCAACAATCACCTTAAGATTCCAAAATTATTACTTCTTTAAAGAAAAAGTATCATTCCGTGTTATTAGATGTCTTGAACCATTTGTTAAAGAATCAGAAACCGAGTATATGATTGCTTTAAAGAATCTTTGCTTGTTACATTGTAATCTTCATTTCGGTAAATTTTACGATTTCTTTGATCATATAGCTCGTCTTATTCCTTCAATGAAAAGACCAGAAGAAATTGCTTATCAATCAAATTATTCTAAACAAATGGCAGCTAAAACATGCAAATTAATTGTTACTCCTCAATTAACACGATCCATTGATTATATGTGTAAAAGTATTAAACATCATATTAAAATGACTGACCATAGAATGAAAGCTTGGAATACTTTATGTGATTTCTTGAAAAGTAGATACATTGAAGCTGAAAGAAATTGTGAGTTAGTTTATAAACATAAATTTGATCTTCCAAGTGAAGACCTTGACAAAATATTTAATGCTGCTCTCAAGAAAACATTTAAATTTACTGAAACAGGTGAAATGGTTACTGAAAATGAAGAGTCCAGTGTATCTGAAACTTTTGAAGGATAATTGAATTTTTAATAAATCCGTAAAATATTACTTTAAATAAATACATTTTATTATGAGGGGATAATGACAAAATAACTAATACTAACAATACTTCAAAAGAAATAAATACTTTTTTATTTTACCCAAAATATCAATATCTTAAAAATAATTAAAATTCATATTGAACTAAAAAATACTACACAACTAATTCAATTTAAAGAATCTTTTTTAATTCGTAATATTTATTTAATCTCATAAATGCGTAGTCTAAATAATCCCATTCAATACTTGACAATGATGCATCAACAAATCCCCAAAGTGACCAAAGAAGATTTGTAGCTAATTGGAATTGATTAACAACATCATATAAATGATCAACTTCTTCATCAGAAGGTTTCTTTCCATTATAAGCTTCAAGATAGCTTCTTAAAAAGAAGTCTTGTTCTTCTTTTGTAGGATATTTATTCCAATCCATAATAACTCCACACCATTCAGTAATATGATTAGCTAAATCAAATGCTTGGAAATTATATGATGCATATTCAAAATCAATCAATTTAATAGAACGATCTTCTTCATTATAAATAAAATTCTTTAAATAAAGATCATTATGACAACATACAATTGGTGAATTAAGTGCAGTTAATTTTTTTTCTACATAATCAATTTCTTTTGATAAGTCTTCAAATTTGATATTTGCAGCAGCAAAAGTTTTTTGTTTTTCTGGATCAAGATAATGACTTGGTACATTATTTAACCATGCCCTCATTTCTTTAAATAAGATTGGTTCTTTTTTTAAATTTGGTTTAAGTTGATGAACACCAGCAATACATTCTGCCATTTTACTTAAAATTTCAGATTTTCTAAATTCATTATAATCCATTGTTCTTCCTGGTGTAAAATCATAAACAATTCCATTTAAAAATCCTCCATAAACTTTTTGTCCATAAGTATTCATAATAACAGACTCTTGTCTTCTATCAACAAGATATTCAGTATAATTACCAAAAGTTCTTAAAACAACTTTCTTTCCTGTTGGAATAGCTGTAATACAAACAAGTTTATTTGTAATTCCTTCTGTAAAAAATTGGAAAGAAAATTGATCATTTTGAAGATTAGCAAATTCTGGTACAAGAATTTTTACAATAAAAACAGCTCCTGAAGTAAATTCCTTATTATTCGAAGCATCAAGAGCAATGAAAAGAACTCTATGAGTAAAACTATCATCATTTTCTGCTCCACACACGTTATGGAAATTGATTATTTTAGGGTTTCTTTGTACCACTGTCATTCTATAGAAGTTTGTTCTGAATTTAGAAAGATTGTCGTTTAAATAAATAATCAATTGGCATGTTGTAACAGGACTTTTAAAAAATTAGTTTTCATTTAAAAAACACATTATTGTTTTTTTTTTGTTTTTCTTCTTTTAGTTTAATTTTTTTAAATTTTATTGAAGTAACTAATTAATTTATTTTTCTTAATAACTCTTATGGAAGAAGGTAATGTTTTGGGTAAAATTGTTAAAATTCAACTCATTGACAATAGGTGTGTTGTTGGAACTTTAGAAGCTGTAGACCATGACGGTAATTTATGTATTAGACATCCATATGAATGTAGAATTATTCCACCAATTAAAGAAGGTGATAAAGAAATTATTGATGTTGTTAAAATGAGAAGTACTGTTATTCCACAAGGATCATGGAAATCTATTTCTATTCCTAATGAACAAAAGTAAAATATTTTTTTTCTGTAGATATTTCATTTTTAATTTTAACATATCATTAGATATAATAAAAGAGTTAATTTTTCATTAGTTATAAATTGAATAATTAATAGAGATGTATTTATTACTTTTAGAGAATGTTTAAAATACCATAATAAATGAATTTATCTTTCATTTTATAAAAAAGCGTTATATATAACAATAAAATTTTATTTAGTTCTTAAGAGAATAATAAGTAATAGTTTAAATTATAATA